TTTTTAAATCATTTCTTAAAACCAATTTTTATAGACTTGAATATTTGTTTTTACTGTGATTTTATCGTTCGCTTTTCAGCTTTTATTTTACTTTTGACTCATTTTTATCGTCATTTTACTGCTTTTATGTGTTCATGTATTTATTTATTTTTCTTGCTTTGTTGTGAAAGCACTTTGCAAACTCTGTTTTTAAAAAGTCAACGCATCAACTGATGGAATTAGTTTTTCTCATTCATTTAAACCTTTTATTAAATTGGTTTGAGTACACAGCACAAATTAGTTTACCTCTTCAGTCTCGCTCACTTACTTACTTTATCTAACTCACTTACTTTATCAAAGAAGAAGATTTCAGGAGGATTACCTGCTGGAAGGTGGACTTTTTTTCAGGTATTGTTTAAGCCCTCTCTCTGCTTGAACTTTTCACCTCTGATCACATCCAACAGCGAGGGCCATATTCACACCAGCATCACAAAACAAAGCATAAAAACACCACACAGCCTGCCAAGTCTTTAAAGTGAGGGACCAGTGTAATTCATGAAGCATTTTATCCACTAATAGTAGAGATAGGAGACGTCTGAGACTCTGAGTTCTGGGTTGGTATGTGAAAAGCCTTTGAGAGTGATACTTTGATCTAAAGCTGGAATTAGACTTCGACATGGCTACATGTTGTCGAACACGCTTTCACGTTTTCTTGGCTCTTTCTTTTAAACTGGTGACATGTCCAGGGTTTACCCCGCCTCTCTCCATTGTCAGCTGGGACAGGCTGCAGCATCCTTATGACCCTCAAAGACTTACACCAAATAGATAATGGATGTGCCTACAGCCTGTCTGCCCTGCTGTGAACCTCTGTGACCCACACTTACTCATAACACCCTGCTCTGTGAATACTCGTGACATTTACCCCGCTCTGCGAGAAACATAAATCCAAGTATCAGAATTCTTAAAATCGACGCAGTTTCGGTATCTGATCTCACACTGTTGGATGATGGTTGGAGATTAAACTTTAAACTTGTTCAACTCAGGAATAGACATTTAGGAATGGGAGTTTTCTTAAAAGTTATAACAGCACTAAAGCCCAAGTCAAACACTGCTATCATGTTAACAACAGTGACACATTACATTCTCACTCTTTGCGTCTCTTGCTCTGTCAATTATTACAAACAAATCTAAATTAACACATAACACCTTGACCTTTGTTAAGTACTAAGTCAGGGGAAGTATTGTAAGGTCCTCACGGATCAGGTAGAAGTGCAGAATCCTATAAAATACTCCAAGTCCGATACCAAGTCCAATATAAGAATATGTTTTGCAAATCATTTACTCTAATACATGTCTTATTTGATGAAGCCTTAAGGCAGAGCACTCATTGCAAATATATTCTTGACATTTCTCGTTATTAATCCTCCTTTTCTCACATTCCCTTGCCAGCGTCGTTTATTGCTGCAGCTCCCTGCACCAGCTCAGTCTCCTCCTCGTGTGATTTTTCATATTTGCTGATTCAACGATTTAATATCGTGTGTTAATTAATGGCTTTGCTCTCACTCTCTGCAGAATCCTCGTTACTGCTTAATTATTGGAAGCACCTTCAAAGAGCAAATCATTTTCTGTCAAACCTAACGCAAGTCTGTTTGAGGCAGGGGCAGAATTCTGATTTCAAAGTCTCTCAGAGATCCCTTCACTTAGGTATAAAGCAAAACATGAGCAGGTTTTTCAAAATTTTCTTTAGACTCCCGTCATGAAGTGGGTGGTCTTAAAACAATGAGTCCAAGAAAGCTACAGTTCTTCTGCTTACTTATTACATAATGTAATTATTGCCTGTGTTGGCTTTCTGTGCTGACTTCACAATACACATGTAGCACATGGTGAACACATGCCATAAAGCCTGTATATTTGTTTTATGTCCGTGGAACGTTATACAGATGTAGATATTGAAACTATAGTAAAAGATGTTAGGTAACCACAACACAGACTGTCATTATGTTGATAAGGAGACACAGGTCGAGTGTAGTACAAAAGTATACTTCTTTCTCTCTCTTGGTCTGAAAGAGGAACAATTAAATCACATGGCTGCTTATCATGAAATGAAATGATTGTAGTTTATTATTGAGGACCATGATCATTTAAAAAAATCAGAGGATGTGCGAGGCCCTGAACAGTCCCCTTAAATTCTATCAGATTGCCCTAAATTTCACTTCCCGAAGTCAGTTTATTAAAATTCATTGAGCATATACATTTTGACAATTTTGACCAATCTTTCAATGTTTAAAAAAAGTGTAAAATGATTCCTGGATTGGCCTCCTGATCTGGATCACCACCACCCATGCCACATCCTTCCACCAGGTTTTGTGATAATCTGTTCAGTTGTTTTTGTGTAATCTTTCTTACAATCTAACAAATAAACAGACGAAAACAACCCCTCCTTGGCGGAGGTCATCAGAGTAGACAGTGGAGGGCTGACAGAGGAAGAGGCAGAGCCACAGCAGCAATGTTATCAGTATGGATGCCACACACGTGCAAACTGCAGCAGTTAATCACAGTATCTCCATTACAGAGAGATCACCAGTACTGTTTAGTGTAGCTCTTTAAATACGAGCAGCAGATTAAAGATTGAAGTAATGAGTGAATCAATGTGTTTGACTGAGTGTTCTTGTTTGAGAGGGTAAAACCATGATTCCAAGGTGCAAACATGTTGATTCAATGTATTTAGTTTCCTTTGGCATCTGTAGGATCGATCCCTTGGGCTTTTGGCAAACCGGACTAAGGATTTGTGATATTTCTTTGACTAAACTTAAGCAAGGAGCGAGTGAAAAGTAAAATATAATCATAAAGGAAAATGTGAAAATAAGAAATTACAGTTGAAAGTCCTATTCCCCACCTGTTCACCCACTAAACCTTGTTGTATATTTATTTATGAATCTAACAATGAAATGTTTTGCCAAAACATAACCAAACGATGAAAGTAATGGAAAAAACATGAAGTAAGAAATAATAACAGGCCTAAAAAAAAGACAGTAATTCAGCAAATCAGTTTTCAATGTCCAGCTAGCATGAAGAAGTTTACAAAATATTATTAATGTTTTTACATGATCTAAATTTGAATAATCCAAAGGTTTCAGAGACTTGTAGTCTTCTAGTCTCCCTCAAATCTCCAGAAATTAGTATCACTATTTTATAGATGATAAATGTTCCTCCTTCTTGTGAATTTCAATGTGCTTGTGTCCCAGGTCTCTTTTCTTTTACTCAAGAATACTGTTTAATTATTGTACTGTTCTTCACAAGGGCATGAAAAGATTACTCAACAGTTACATGTGTTTTCTCAACAGGTTTCATTCATAATTAGGGATATGGTGTCCATGTGTGTGCCATGGCAAGTAGAAATGTTTAATTGAAGAATAAAGTGAAGTCACAGAGGCCCTGCATTCCACAACCTTTTTTTTCCTTTTTCTCATTCTGGCATCAATAGCGCCTCCAACAGGCAACTCAAAACATTGATTCATATCTAATTAACTGCACTACACATGGGGAAGTCTCTGGAAAGATTTCAGACAGTTTTCAGTTTTAAAAATTCAAATAACCATTAACAAATAATTATAATAATATCCACCATGATTATCCCAAAAGGAGTTCCCTGGACTAATGTGCAGGCCACAGTGGGGCATTACTGAAAGATGTCTTGATAATGTGATTAAATATCTGTGCCAGTGAAACATTTTGTGGGTAATTTACTACATTTTTCAGGCAGCAGAGTGATAGATGTTGATGTGTCTGGCAGCAGGATTCAACAGCCAAACCAGACTAATAGGCTGAAACAGAATGTCAGCGTTTACAGACTTATGCTGTGAGGATTATAGCGTGCAGCCTGGTCACTGCTGTCCTCTGTGAGGAGTAAACCAAATCACAGTCACTGCCTCTCAGATTTTAAATTTCAAATATTTGCAAAATATCTCTTGTTTTTAGGCTAATGACAAATAATTGCAGTCTGCACACCAATTTTCAAAATCAGCATCAACAGTGAATCCATTAGAAAATAAAGTCAGTGTTGATAAGAGGATGACAGCAATAATGGATTCCTCTACTGAATATTATTTATAGTGTCATGGACAGAAGGAAGCTCATTCATTTGTCTCTCACATGAGCATGAGGGCAGTTAAATGTAATGATCATGTCAGGATATATATCTGAACATCGATGTCTGAACATTATTTTAGAACATATGTCTGAACATATTAAAAGTTCAATTAAGATGCTAAAGATCATATAATTGTTTCTGCAATATTATTGTTACCAGAGTAACTATAAAAATGTGTTTTTAAATTGTTGGTACCACAATATTATTATATTCATATTCATTTGTGTTGCATATTAAGTTGTGTAATATCCCCAAAAATATTATTGTGCCTTATGATAAATTGCTTTATTAGTGAATGTATTTTTCTATATAAGTTTATAATATGTCAATTATTTTATACATGTGGATATGTGTAATCAGGTTTCTAATTTACATTCCCCATGCTATTGGTTCCTACCTGCCCTGTGTTTACAGGGGGACAATTAAAAGGTGACACTTGTGTTGAGCATGTGCTGTTGAGAGAATGAAAAGTTTGGTGTTGAACTGAAATGAAACAGTGATGATTAGTGAGATGCTTTCCTCAGGTTTACTTCAGCTTAAACACATTGTGATGAGGACGGAGTCATATTTTATCATCAATCACAGCACAAAACCAGGTAATTTCACAGGTTGCACATTATCTTTCTCAGCACTGTGTTGGTTAATGAAGCACTTCACTGGGATCTTATTCTCTGCAGAGACTCTGCGCTCACAATATGACCCCAGATGAAGGCAAAATCAGTCATGAGCAACAAAAGAACTATATTATACTGCATAGAATTATATTTGTAACAAAATACATAATATGCATATGTACTTTGTATTTAATGCTTTGACAAATGACCGGAATATTCGTGGTTTTCCTTGAATTGATTGAGGACAGTAGAAAAAGGTCATTGTGGGACAAATTTTATTCAGAATGAGTTTGAGTGGGATTTTTTTGAGTTTACTTTTCCTTTTTTAAATAAAAACATTATTATCGGTAAATTCACAAACCCACAAAAAAGCTCTTCTATCCAGTTGTAAACAGGTGAACAATGATTCTGCAGCTCTCTAAATAACTCCAGTAAAGGGTTTTTCTACATCCGCCTGTCCCCAGGATACTGTTAATATGCACTTATGAAAAATGTTAACGTTCTGCCTGCTCAGCGTTGGGGCGTCGGTCAGCTGTCACATGGACAGTTTTAAAGCTTGTCATCAGGGGCGGGGAGTTTCTCCAGTGTGGGCTCCATGCCCCAGATCTCACGAGCGTACTGAGCAATGGTGCGGTCGCTGGAGAACTTGCCACATCCGGCAATGTTGTAGATCACCTTCTTGGTCCATTCCTTGGGGTTCTGACGTGAGGATGGACGAGAAATGAATAAGATCAGTAATTAATGAGATAATTCGCTCTGTCTCTTCTTCTGTTCGTGGTGATATTTGTGATATAACCATGGAAATCAAACTTTTAATGAACATACCTTGTAAAGAGCATTGACTTTATCCTGGCATTTCATATAATCTTCATAGTCAGCGAAAACCTTAAATCTGTGGAAGAATGTGTGTTTAAAAAAGATACAGAACAACATACAAGCAGCAGTGAACAACATGTGTCGTGTAAATGTGTGTGGGTGTAGTACTGAATTCAGCCTAGTTGTTTTGTCTTTCCGTTTCCTTTTTCACACCAGCATGCAAGTTTATACACATTCTTATTTGTATTTGTGTGCATGCGTGTGTGTGCCTCGGGCTGCTAATGTTAGATGTGCCTTTACCTGTCATGATGCATCAGCATGTTGATGATTTCCTTAAACAGGTCAGGCTGCTTTGGGCTAAAGAAGCCTCCAGCGATCTGGTCAATAGCCTGTTTCAGCTCCGGCAGGCGGTTGTAGTACTCTTCAGCATGGTATCTAAGCAGAACCCAAAAATAAATGATAAACACATTCAGAAAAACACAAGCACGAGCCTGTTGCTGTGGTAACCAGCCCATTCATGACAGAGGTGTTGTCAGTGCCTGCCCGACACATAGGCACAGACAGGTTCCCCAAGGCCACACCTTTTTAGTGTAGAAACCCTCAGCTGCTGTTTGTGCAACAATCGAGTGCAGACGCACCAAGTGATATTACAAAGTGATGCGAGTTTGTTGGCTACAGATCAAACCCTCAGTGAAGTTCATACCACCAAGGCTCAACAGCTGCCTTATGAAACCTCATTTAAATTCACTAGATCTTGTTATATTATATTAGCATATGAACCAAACACTCATAAAGATCTATCCCCTAAAGAAGACAGATTTGTTTTAATCAAGAATCTATGAATTATTATCTGAGAAATCATCAAAAGAAAATAAATCCTGGATCCGCCACCTTATCTGGATCCACACTAAAATTAAATGGGTTATTTCCTGACCAATACTACATCCTCCTTTAATGGAAATCTGTTTCGTAGTTTTTGGCATATTCTTGCTTGCAAACAAATACATTCTGATGAAAACATAATGTCAAGACAAAGTACAAAAACAATGTTTGTAGAGATTGGGGTTCGTTCCGCACCCTTTCTTGTCAAGTTCATCAACATCATCCACTCTCATGCCAAAGATGAACAAGTTGTCCTCGCCGGCCTCCTCGGCCATCTCCACATTGGCTCCGTCCATGGTACCGATGGTCAGGGCGCCGTTCAGCATGAACTTCATGTTGCCGGTGCCAGAGGCCTCAGTGCCAGCTGTGGAGATCTGCTGTGACAGGTCGGCTGCGGGGATCCCTGGAAAATGACAAGCGTACAGAGAGTTGATGTTTTTATGCTGTCTATCAAAAACTGCAGAGGAGGAAATGAAATAAAGAAAGGAGACATCAGAATAGGGCACAGTTTAGGTAATTACCTCTCTCTGCCAGTGTGACTCTGTAGTTCTCCAAAAAGATGACTTTCAGGCGATCTCCGACCACGTGATCGTTGTTGACCACCTCACCGATAGCTGTGATCAAACGGATAATCATCTTTGCAGTGTGGTACCCAGGAGCAGCCTGCAACAAACGGACAGCGAGAGGAATAATGTTGGATAAGTGGGATTGGTGGGTTTGTCTTTGGAGCTCATGCCTTTTTTGAAACTACAAACCTTGCCTCCAATCATGACAGTTCTTGGAGTCCACTGCTTGTTGGGCTCCTTCTTGATGCCTGGCAGAGATCAGGAGATTAAAGCACTGAGGTGTGTGTTTTCAGTGAAAATGCTTTGAAATCACTTAAAATCAGTGAATGAAGGATTTCAAGCGCATGCTCACGGTTGTAATAGGTGATGATGTGCAGGCAGTTGAGCAGCTGTCTCTTGTATTCGTGAATTCTCTTGACTTGAATGTCAAACATGGAGTTGGGGTTGATCTTCACCTTGTAGTGCTCCTCCAGGTGCACGGCAAACTTCAACTTGTTTTCCTGACTCGTCAAAAAGAGAACTTTGTTAGATAAAATGCAATAAATTCTGTTTCCCAGTGTGAGGTTTTTTATGTCCTGTAGACAAACGTACATTCAGAAATCAAACAATTCTATAATATTACAGTGGAAATAAACATCATCATTAAACATGGAAACCACAGAGGTGCAAAAGACAACACTCCTAGACTTTCATACATGCTGCCCCCACTGGTTCAGAGGTTGCAGTAAAACAGTTGGTGTGTCATAGTTTGTGATGCATCATAGAGCAAGGGCCACAGGTCTCTTTAGATTGATTATATTCAGCTATAACTAGAATGGCACCCAGTAGAGCACATAGCTCCACCAATGGCTAAGAGTTGTCTTAAATTCAATCAAGCTCATCACACTCATAGATGTCTGTCCCCTTAACATGCCAGATTTTTTTCATCAAGAGCCTTAAATTAATCTCTGAGAAATCAGTGAAAATGTTGAAAAATACCTTATCTCACAAATTTTAAAGAAAATGGGGGGAAAACATAACTTCCTTGGCAAGGGCAATAAAGTAATATTTATTTATTTTTTATATATATATAATAATTGTCTTCTTAATGCCTTAATGGTGTTGATTTCAAACTCACAGTAGATATAGAATAAGATCTTTGCTATTTCACCTGTTTCACTTTAGCAATATCACGGATGAAAGCCTCGTCGTTGACGTACTTGCGGAGACCCTGCAGCTGGTCGAGGTCACGAATGAAGTCCTCGCCAATTCTCTGATCAACAAAAATTTGCAGAGTGAATATAACACACGTCAGTTTCCATTGTAAAATATGAAATTTGTGTTATGAAACACAGCTGACCTCAGCGATGACCTCAGCTAGCCCGGGGTTGCACATCACCAGCCAGCGGCGAGGAGTGATGCCATTGGTCTTGTTTTGGAACTTTTTCGGCTCCATTTCAAAGAAGTCCTTGAAACTGCAGGCGGAGTGAAGCATCACATACATCAGATGATGCAGCTGCACATGAAACCACAGAGGCTGGGGACTTGTGCGCTACATGCACTATATGGTTTGCTGTTAATTATGAATCACCAAGGCAAATGAGTTTTATTTTAAGGACATACATTGTGGCTTTGAGGATGTCGGAGTGTATCTGGGCCACGCCGTTAACAGCATGGGAACCCACGATGCACAAATGGGCCATGTTGATCCTCTTCTGTCCACCCTCCTCAATGAGAGACATGCGGCACAGACGACCATTATCACCCGGGTACTTGGCTGCAACTCTCTGCCAAATCAAAAAAAGAACATGAGACAAAAAATAATTAACAGCTTGTATTATAAATGTTTTATTTAAATTTAATTTTGCCTTCTGAATCATATTTTTTTTATCTCTCTAGGTCATCACAGCTTTTCTTTAATGATATCAAGGTGGCATGTGAGGCTGACTTCCATTAGTATCTATGTAAATAAATGAAAATCTTTACATTGTGACAGTCTCTTTAAACCCTCCCGTCACTTCAGGTCAAATACGTTTCACTTTACATTCAGCAGGGAGGTGGAGTCTATGTGAATCGTCTCTGACAGATGTTATTATAAAAAAAATCATAGTTTATTTTTGCTTTTCTAGCCTCATGATTTTAATTTGGTATTCATTTTAAAGTTTACTCCCATTTTGAATTGAACCTCACTGAAATTCATTGATTGCACTGAGCTTTGTCTTGAACATGAACCCTGTGTTCAGAAGAACAGAGAAAGAGACTATTTTATTCAATGGAAAAATAATGTTGTTATTCCACAGAGACAGTGTGCTGGTGTTTCCTCTGCTACATATGGGGAGGAGGAGCCATGAGGACGCATCATTCAATGTAACATGGAAATTGTGTCGTGCTGCAATGAGCAGTAATGACCTCCAGGTGGCGGCGGTTGATCTCGTAGATGATTTCCAGGTGACGGGGAAGCAGATGTGCAAACAGATCGACTGGCCAACGCTCCAGGGCCTCGGGGAGGACGGTGTGATTGGTGTAAGCGCAGGTACGCACACAGATGTCCCAGGCCTGGACACCAGCAGAGAATACACATGCATAAAGTACAAATGTTACTGTGTGAGATCATATTTCAAAATAATTATTATAAAAATAACAGATTTGAGAAAAATCCATTTGTTCTATTTAGCTCTGGTGGTTTTGATCTCCCAATTAACTGATGCATTTGCAAGAAAAGTGTCTTGTGGTTTCAAATGCTAAAATTGTGTTAAACTTTAACTTCTGTGTTTGTGTCAGGGTTTGCTCTTCCTCACGTTATCCCACGACAGCTTCTCTTCATCAACCAGAACTCTCATCAGCTCAGGAATAGCCATGGCGGGGTGAGTGTCATTCAACTGGATGGCAACCTGAACACAGAGCGCGTCATTAAATGTCAACACAGAATTAGCACACACACACACACACACACACACACACACACACACACACACACAGACACACACTAAGTGCTGTGTAGATACTGTTCATCTCAAACACTCCGATGAGATACAATAAAAACCCACCCACAATTTGTTATACACACTGACAGGAGCAATTTAACGAAGGAACTGCGAGAACATCAGGGGGGGAAATCTTTCCACTTTTGACAGAAACCATTTTGTCGAGTTTTTTCACTTCACCTTGTCAGGCAGTTTGTTGAAGTCTGTGCGAACAATCTCCCTGGAGCCAAACTTGGAGACCTTGAAACGGCGGATGATGTCTTGCAGGGTGGCAGACACCACAAAGTATTCTTGCTTCAGACGGAGCTCCTTTCCTTCAAAGAACTGAGCATAAAGACACATATTTGTCTTATTCTCTTCTGCAGGCAAACAAAAGGTTTTCTATTCATTAAACATCAACCCCTGCATATTAGTGACTCATGAACATTTCAGAATAAGGTTAGAGGGGCTCTGGAGCCAAAACCTATGAGGGATTCGTCATCTTATTAAAATGATTTCAGCACCATATCAAACATAATATTGTGTGCATTGTGTTAATGTGCAATTACCTTTATAAATAGACATATTTATACAGGCTGAATTTCATGTTTTGTGTTGGAACCAAAGCATTCCTAAATTTAAAAAAATCTGAATTATGTATATTTTCTTACTTCTGAAAAGTATTTTTTAGAATTTGAAAGCCACAAAAATAAAGCTTATAATTTATAATAACTGGGTTAGGGGAAACACACTCCTAATGGAGACTAACTGATTTTTAATTGGCTAAATTCCAATATTTATTTTTCACCAACTGATTAATGAATCAACTTGTTGCTGTGCTTCCATATTGATAACAGACACACAAAGCACAACAGCAACAGCAGCTCAACCAACAATGACTTGAACATAGCAGGAGTATCAGCTCCGCTACAGATTCTGCTCTCACTTACACAGACATAAATTACCAGACCTGACATGAGTTATATTGAGAGTTAGATGGTTATCTCCTAAATCCTCCTTCTCGAGCCTCCAGGGAGTCGGTACATGGTGGTCAGGTCTTATTGCAGATATAAAGGACAGTGTCAGAGGAAGCTGAAAGAGCACACACTGGCTCTGGATCAAGACAAAAGACTCAAGATGGGGTCCAAATTATGTAAATCCATCCCTCAGTGGAGTTATGATAAACCCTATATATGTATAGTCATACAGGACCTATACAGTCCACAGCTCCTGTGTCTCTACCTCTCAGGTGTTTCCTCTTATCCAGACTAACATGTACATGGTCATACTGAATTGATTAAAAGGTAATTTAGTCATAATTACTTACATTGTCGTTGGGATAAAGAACACGGGAGATGTTCTCAGCCAAGTTTCTGTCCAGCACAGCCTGAATGTAGCCACCAACATTGACTAGAAGACAAATAAACTTCTTCAGTTAAAGCTCATTCTCATTTGATAGCTGTTGCATGCTGGGAAACATTCACCAGACACGTACAGTCTTTAAGGTTGAAATCGCAGGGGGCCTTCGCAGACCACAGCCTCATGGTGTTGACAACGTTGTTTCTGTAGCCAGGGATAGGGGTGTCGTATGGCAGAGCCAACACGACCTGCCAATCACAGCAGCACACGTTCATACGTCTGTATTATCAGAAAACATATTTCATGTGTGTGTGTCTCCTACAAGTCGTTTTTTTACCTGTGCATCAACCCATTTGACGCCGTCATGGTGATGCTCGGTCCTGCCATAGAAACGCACAGGCCGCATGTACTCAGGACGTGCCTTCTCCCAGGGGTTGCCATAGCGCAGCCAATCATCAGCCTCTTCAACCTGGATAATGACATACATTTATTGCAAGGGAGAAAAATACACTAATTACGTGCACAACTTTCTGACAAAGTAAGCGAGAAGTAACATCAGGTCACGGTAACAATGAAGGGAACTCATCTCGCAGGTGATTTAAGTGGAGAAGAAACACGAGCAGCTATTCTTGCCCACTGACACAAGAATATGAAGTTTCCGATAACAAGACAACCAGAGGCCTGGAAGCTGAACATGTCTAACCTGCCAGCCATTGACGATTTTCTGATTGAAGATACCGAATTCATAACGAATACCATAACCATAGGCAGCCAGACCCAGGGACGCCATGGAGTCCAGGAAACAGGCTGAAAACCAGAGATGACACATGGGGAAACAAAAACAGACCTTTGACTTGGTGTTACACATAATCATTTTCTAGTTTTCTTTTTTTTTTGTTTTCAAGTAAGTTTTTATATTTATCTAATGTGAAGGGAGAAATATACTCACCAGCAAGACGACCCAGGCCACCATTACCCAGACCTGCATCTTCCTCCATGTCCTCCAACTCCTCCATATCCAGACCCAACTACACATGAGGGCAGATCACAACATGGACGAATGAAGCAGTGATTCTGAGATATGTAGCTTGTAAAGGTTGTACAGATATTAAGATGAATGAACGTTTAACCTGGTACGTGGCCTCATCACAGGCGTTCTCCAGCGCCAGGTTCACCATGGTGTTTTGGAGTGTGCGGCCCATGTAAAACTCAAGGGAGATGTAGTACACACGCTACAGTTCGGTGAAAAAGGGAGAAATAATCAATATCAAACTGAATGAAGAGCCAGAAGCTGTAATATGAACAGTATCAGAGATATTTCCTCTCCACAGAAGTAAAACCTAAAACCTGAGACGTCCGTCAAGAAAACCTTTGAATTTCATAGTTTCGCTTCAATGTTGACGGTGAATAGAAATGTGCCATCTGAGCCTGTGTTTAGCCTTTGCCATTTAGAAGCTTTTTATTTGGCCTCCTCTGACATGGAGGTGCAGACACACGCTGAGGAACGGCAGAAGAGAAGGGGGGGGGGGGGGCGTGTTTCTTTAGGTATTGCATAACACATACACATTTCGGCCCTGGACACAAATAGGTCCTGTAGAGGTCACTGTAAAGGTCAGCCTGAGCCTGATCCCTCTCATTATGGGGTTCAAGCAGTTCGGATAAATGAGTAAAATATTAATGAATTCAACTGTTGACCATATTGCTGAGTTTTCACCAGGATCCCCTGAAATATAAATGGTTTCTATGTTCCAAATTTTATCAGACTTCAATCCTTGCTTCAGCTGATTATGCAATTTTTTTTTTCAACAATGCATATCAGCAAAGTGGGAAAAATGAATCTAGGAGTAACAGTAATATTGCTTTGATCAGTGTGTGATCTCTTTGCACAAAAAACTACACTGAGCTCAAACGTTCTTCTCCATGTTTCTGTTGAGACCTTTGAGGAATTCATCTTTGACCTTTCAGTGCCACAAGTCGGGTGCTCAAATGGTCTCCAAGTTAGAGGTTAGCCCATCAGAGAACAAACGAGTTAAATGTAAGGAGTAAATGTCTTGCTATGAGGGCACTGTTAGTTTGGAGCAAGCTGAGGTGTGCGAGGAAACTTTCTTCCGAACCTGCGCGTGAAAAGAAAAATGATCGTCCTTTATTCGACAGGGTTATTAATGATCTTGCACTTTTACACAGGAACATTTCTTTTTTAAATAAGTAAATTCAATTGGAGCCGAGTTTCCCTCTGCTTCCAAACCCTATATTTAAATTACGGTTTCCTGTGACATTTTCGAGCGGTAATGTGGTGGCGTTTGCAGATTTGCAGTTCTGGTGACACCAGCAGCCTATTGTTCCATTAAGGTTTCTCTCTGGAACTGTTTATACCTCTGCAGTTACCGAGATGAACTCAGCTGCCCTCGGAGGTATGTGCTCATATGACACAAGTAAAGGCTGTGGGCTTTATGGTCAGAGATGATGGGACAGAGAGGGTCATGGGGACGTTTCATGTTTCAACACACTATAAGACCTGCCGCATACCAGCAGAGTGCTGGTGAAGTTTAAATGTCATGACTTTGACGTCAGACTGTTGAAAGTACAGTTGAAGAAAATATAACCTGTCCTCTCGCACCCTTTATTTAAGTTAAAGTAACATTATAATGAATGTAGTAATCTATTACAGGTAAAAATGATGCATATAAATGTATATGCAGTACATGTAATTATGTTTAGTAAAGGTACCATTACAACTGAAGGAGTAATCTATTACAAGTAAAAGTTCTGTACAAATATATGTTTGATATATAGGTACTCATCTTGAGTAAAATCTATTACAATTAAAAATTCTGTATTTGTATATATTTTGCAATATTTTTTAAATATCTTGAGTTAAAGTACCATTACAATGAATATAAACTTAATCTATTACAGTAAAGGTTCTGCACATATATGTGCAGTATATGTAAACATCTTACATCACTACACTGAATATAGAAGTAATCTATTACAAGTAAAAGACTGTTGTACATCATGTGTTTCATAAGATCATAGATTCTCATGTATCCATTTAGAAGAAACATAACTGTTGTATCTGTATGAGGTGGATTAACTGTACAGTAGTTCTGCTATAAAAATTTGCATTTCATGTTGGACTATCTGATATTGGATAATTATTTCTTTTTTCTCTTATTTAAATGAAAAGTTCAACAATGGGCCCAGTAAGAAAGTGGCTCTTCATAAGACTTAACAAGCCAAAAGGTTTGGAAATCACTGCTGGATCTTAAACATTGGATTTAAATCTATAATCTTATCACATTTTTTAAGTGTATCTGTCCAATACACATATACACACAGTACAGTACCCCAAAACTGTAGTTTAAGTTCAGTATTTTCCATCTTATTCAAGGTTATGGGACAGAATGATATTGAAAACATTGAGGACGGTCTAACAGACTTCTCTTCATATGCTGAGGGTGTGCTGCAGTTCTCAATAATATCAAATATTAATGTCACTATTCGCCCCCATATACTTGGTTGAAAACTATAAGCTTCATAACTTCCTTTATCACAAATATAAGATGTGAGACAGTCGTAACTTTTATAGCTGTTAAAATAACGCTGAGTAATGTGAGTTCAGATCTCTACCCTCTGCTGCTCCTCTGTCTTGAACTTACTTTGGGATCTTTCTCATAGTAGTGCTGCTGGGTTCTAATCCACCTGCCAATCAAGTGCTCCCGCACAGTGTTGGCCAGGGCAAAGTAGTAATCCCTTCTGGTTGCTACGTTTCTGTCCTTGACCAGCGTGAAGTGGAGGTGTCTGTTGAAGCTCTGCTTCAGCTCTGCAACATTCTCAACGCCGGCGAGGCCTCGCACAGAAATCTGTTTCTTCCTGTCATGGTCAGACAAGGGTTTCGACATGGTGCTACCAGAGGGAGCAGCTCAGCTCTGTGACTATGGAAGAATGTAAACAGTGAGACGGTAGGCGCACACCACCAGGCCCAGACACAGCAAGAGAGGCACCCACAGCCCAGCAGCAGGTTCAGCAATTTGTAGGCACCAACATGAATATTCAGTGGAGGGTGGAGTGGACTGTATATAGTGGGTGGGGCAATTGTTGTGGATAGATGTTATAATTTGTTTTCAAACAGCAGTGACCATGTTTGTTTTTTATTTGATTTAAACGGATGAAAACCAACCTGATGAAAACCACAAGTTGTGATTCAAGGTTCTTGAAGATAGAATAGAATGAAAACAATACAGCAATACAATGAGTAATGGAGTAAATAGATTTAAATAAAAAAGATTAATAATACAGACAATTTAATAAACGAATAGAAATAATTGCATACATCAAAAAACATAAATGAATAAGCGATGATAAAAATGGAAAAAGAATTACATATATAGAAAAAAATATTATTTCTTTGTCTTCACTGTCTTTATTGCACTGTATGATGAAGGAAGACTTTGACTTTAATCTGACAGCCTACGATGATTGAATGGTTCCAAATTATTCCTTATTATCATTAAATGATAAAATGTGGAAAAAGTCCCAAACTTTTCTTTGTTTAAATATATTTATTTACCTTAGCCAAAGAGTTTGTTTTCACCTCTGTCGGTTTCTGGGGGTTTTGACACAAAAACAACAGGATGGATTTCCAAAAAACCTGGTGGTATGAATTGATGTGGTGCAGCTCCAGATGAAACCAGATCGGGGGACTTTTATAGGGGAATGTTGGGCGGAGGTATGAATTGTAGTTGGTGCTATTCTAGTTTTTAGTGTCATTACTGCAAAGCCCTGTATAAATAATTTTCCGATATTGTAGAAGAAACACATAGTGATAATATCTGGCAGCTACTGTGGCTAACTTGTTTTCCCCCCACAGTTGGCAAGAGAGGCTGAGCCAGCAGATGTAGCAGTATATTCCATTTTTTTAAAGTTTGTTTTGATGCACTTAAAAAGCAAGCATTGCAAAGTTTGGTAATTATCATTTTGTAAGTTGTGACTATATCTGTGCATTACAGGACAGATTTTGTTTTATGAATCCACATTGTGGACATTTGATCAGCTCTGAAACCCGATCAGCCGTTGTGTTTAATATGTTCATGCTACTGTCACAGGACGTCTACAGTAAGTAGCTGCACTGCAAGTAACCAGTCATCTAGGGATCACATCTGTTCTAGAGCCTTGAGCTGTAACACACACAAAATCAGCTGCAGCAGAGCTGCTTTAACACACTCTATTTTCAGTTATCACTCTCGTGTGCCAAACTATCATGAAGTCTTGACCTTCTATTAATAGTAACTCTGACCCAGTCCCAAAGGCCATGATATTTGAAAGGCATATCTTGTTAATGTCAGCAAGAGCCGGCAGACAACACTCGTGTATTACCATAAGTCGGGCTGCAGCATAAGGAGGAAGGCGGTGTTTGCTGGGTTTTTCATAGTGGGATGCAGCCCTGCTTGGTTATTATCATCTTGTTAAAAAATGGGATTCTGCCTTTTGGTTGAAAGCTGGATGAAAGTGTGACTGTCACTTTATTGTAAAGATTCACTGAACTTCGCTGTACTTTGAATCAATGCTGACAGGAAACTGTCAGGAGTAAAATTAGCACGTCTTTCTAACTGTTTACAGCTTTCTTGGACGATAGGATGAAAAGAGGAAAGAAAAGATACGGCTGTCAAACAGCACAACATTTGGACAAAAACTGAAAGGAATTCAAATAGCTGACGTTGAAGCGGTCAGCAGTGCCTCGTATTTCTGCATCATTGGTAGACATTTTAGAATTTAGACAGTACCATATATTAATGCTGCTGTCTGCACCATTTCCTGTTATGTTCATTTTAATGGTCCTGCGTGCCAAATGACCCCCAGAACAGAGGAACCATCACACAACAGATGACAGAGATTGAAGCTGGCGTGCCCCTGATTTGTCCATTATGATGAGCAAATTATGTTCTTACATGTCTACTGGCCCTTCTGTCAAATGGTACATCAAGCATTTCAAGACTGCAGCGAGTGAATGAACTGTCTGAGGGAATCTGTGGATAAAAAAAATCCTGACGTGAAGGAAAACTGATGAAATGTTACAACACTCAAGCCGCTACACCAGTTAGCACAATGTTTTCTCTGGTCTCCACCTCACGCTGTTATTTATGACCTCTCGATCATACCAGGCAGTCACATAAAAGTTTAATTAATTTCTATTTTTAATTTTATCCCCCGAGGGAACATTAAGTCAATCAACCCTGATGTTAATGAATGACCTCACTGACCAACAGTCACCACAGTTACTAAAGTGCTTGTGGTGTAGGCAGACATTAGAAAAGTTTAGCTGGAAAGATAAATGTCTGGTTCTACTGGAAATTTACAGTTTCAGGCCTTTTTCTTCTTTTCTGTAACATGTGTTTATTCATTATGACTTCTTATTCAATCAGACAGCTAGAGTTATATTCAGTAGAGCGTAAACCCTTCATCAACAGTCCCCATGAATTCAAGCTGCACCAAATTGCTTGCTCTCATATATATTAGTTCCCTGAATGTACCTGATTTTTATCCCCTGGAGAATATGAAAATTGTCCTATCATGCAATGTTAAAGAAAGTGGAAGAGCAAGTCCTGGATCTGCTCCCTGATCTGAATCCATCCAATTGAATGGGTTCTTTTGGGTAGTTTTTGCCAAATTCTAATAAACAAACATACAAACCGACCAACAAAGAGTGAAAACATGGTATTCTCTTTTGTAAAGAAATCTTTTTTAATTAATCAATAGTTTTGGTTAATTTATGCAACTGAATATTTAAAATGAACATATTGATTAAGTTTAAAGTTTTTTGTTGTTGCTCAGTCAGAGCTCTGGCAGAGAAAAACAAAAGCTCTTCATAGATTTTAGTTTTTCCAATATTTCACTCTTCAAAAATATGAAGCTGACATTATAACAACCCTCCCACCACCTCCACCACCCTTTCACCCAGTCCAAAATGTATCTGAAAGGTGTCACACAGAATAATGTCTAACATCTGCAGGTGCAATGCTGCATCTCCATGTCTTAAACACCATGTTTTTCTGCATCATTTTCAGAAGCAGTTTCTTTTTTATCGCTTCTTTCCTTTATGTTTTTCTCCTCTAGGTTTCTTGGTGTTCTTGTGTTTGACTATCTGGTGCATTCAGCTGTTTTCAGGTGAAGGGAAGAATTCATTTTTATTCCCACAATGTCAGCATTCAGGAGTCATGGGATTGGAGCCAGAGGAAGCAAAGCATGAAAGAATAGAAATGAGACTTGTCAGAATCTTGTCGAGGAAAAAAAAAAGAAGAAGTCGAATTGGGTGAATTAACTCTTGGTTTCATTGGTTCAATACACTGACATCAGATACAGTAATAACCTAATATGTAGCTCAGGGCATGTGATTCAGGGTACACACCTCAACACACTGAGTAAGGCTAGTTGTACTCTATATTATATGATATTTCACACAACGTGCCAATTAAAATGCTCCTGTACATTTTTAATGGCTTTGGACCAAACATTTTCCGCACAGCAGCTAAGCAGCCTCATCATTAAAGCTCAAAAGCTCAAGTCGATCTGGCAGTAACTGTTGTATTCCAAATCATTCACACATCCACCCCTAGATGCTCACATATTTACACACAGGTCTGTTGGTGAAAAAGCATTTTCCCACAATGAGCATCTTCGTTTATATCTCACCAAAAGTAATAGACTCAAGATATTACACCTGGCGTGCATTTGTTTCTGCAGCAAACAATTATAATTAAGAGTTAGTGTTGTCTGATTGTTTATGTAATGGATTTTAATGGAGGTACATTGTTGAAAATATGTTCAGCTAAACTGTAAAATCTGAACTTGTTCAATTAATCTTCAAACAGCGTAAACATCATTTATCTCCAGTGTCACTGCAAAATGTGTGTGTGTGTGTGTGTGTTTACAGATATCTTTGTGAGGACCATTTTAAGCCTAAACCTTATTGAGTGAGCACATTTTGGGGAAGTGAGGGCCGGCGAAAATGTCAAATATGGAATCTGAAATGTCTTTCTGATTCATGACGGAGGTTTCAGACTTTTTAGGGTTAGAATTAGTTTACGTTAGGATAAAGACTAAGGTTAGGCATTTGGTTGTCATGGTAAAGATTAGGATAAGGGGCCTTGTCAGGTCCAGTAGACCTCATGGGGACCAAAGCTTGGTGCTAATGAGGCAAAACATCATTTCTGAGGTCCTGGTTAAGTTCAGGTGTAAAACGTGAACTGTGCTTAGGTTTGGGTTAGGTATGAACTGGTCATGGTTGATGTTAGGGAAAAAATGCAATTTATATCTGATGGTGTAAAAAGGAGTGAGTGAGTGAGTGAGAGAGAGAGAACCTGCCAACATGTGGCCAACACAGGAGGAATACTGGCACCTGGTGGTGAATCTGGTGATGTAATAGTCTGGGGACAAACAAACACCACTGGCACCTGTAAGAAGTGAGCATTTAACAATAAACACAAGGAAATACATGAATTAATCAAAGGGCCACTCCACCAATTTACATTATGAGGTTCAGTTTAGTCATCACAAGGAGCTCTTCTTACCCTGCGCAAACAGATGTCTAATGTCTTTTGTGGCTTCGGAGGATCCGGAGGGTCTTGATGATGTCTAGTGAATGACTCAATTGAATTGCATTATGGGAAGTGTGGGATCCAGCCGTTTTTTAGGTTAATCTTCCCTTGTGGGTGCTCTAATGTTATTTAGGGACAACACTAAATCACTGGAGTTTATCATTCATTTCTCCTGCCTATTGACCTATTGATCTTCTACCTTCATTTGTCTTACGCTGAAGTCAATAAGTGTCAGGCACAGTACATGTTTAGATTCTCGTCCATCATGAAGACCAATTAAGAAGGTGACTAACTGGTCCCACAATCATTCTGTAGCATTACAATGACCCCAAACATGCGACCAGAGTCTTGAATAACGATCACCTGCCACAAGAAGAACAAGTTGGGCTGCAGCAGATGGTCTGGTCCCGACAGATCCAGGATCAT